CAGCGCCCCCCCCCTCCGAGCACAAGCAAGCAGCTGGTGTGTTCCAGGCTGCATGTACGATACAAGCAAACGGGCGTGCTCCCCTGGTCAGTCAACGGCACCCTTCGGAATGTGACTTGGAAGCGCCTGTAAATCGGCACGGCTTCTCTTGGCAGAGAAGTCGGCTGGGAAAGGGGTCGTTCAACGTACGAACTCGGGAGAGGTGCCCTACGGAAAGTCAACAGGGGTCACGGGCAACGCCCCCTCTTAGCTGTGGAGTCTTGTGAGCAAGAAACTTTGTGAGCTACTGGCATTAAAAGTTGTGAATGAAAAAAGGAAAAAGAACTGTTGACAATTAGCGCTTGGTAATATATTAATAAATCATAATAAACAATAACAGAAAATCAGTAATATATATAGTGAATGTAGACGGTGGTCTCCGGAACAGTGACGTATTGGAAATATACTGTTGATTCACTTCATCATGAGGCTATGCTTACAGCCAAGTTCTTCAATGGGCTATAATTGCTGAATGTCACCAAGAAATGAATTGTTGAAAGACAGTTTTTGTATACACCCGTTCAGAAGATCATTGTCGAAACGGCACACCATTTCGGAGACCACCGTCTACATTCACTATATACATTACTTATTTTCTGTTATTGTATATAATGATTTATTAATATATTACCAAGCGCTAATTGTCACAGTTCTTTTTCCTTTTTTCATTGGCCTTTTTACTGTGCCCATTCTTGTTACTATTACAAGTTGTGAGCCAGCAATTTGGCTACTGCATCAATTAGTTTGCTCTGGAGCCCTCCTCCCTGAGCTGAGACAATAAATCTGTGAGCTGGGGGCTAACAAACGGTGAGCTAGCTCACACTCACTCAGCTTAGTGGTAACACTGGAATGTGTTTCTAGGGGTGTCACAGGGGACTAATCTGCCACACTCTTCGGGTCAGGTGGGGGGGGGGGGGGGTCCCCGACCAGTGGGCACCTCTGGAATTCTGACAAAGGGGCGGAGGGCACGATCAGAAAAATAGCCGCCGGAGGAGGTGGAGCCAACCACAAAGTTATCATGGATTGAGGTTATATACAAGGCTAACTTGAGCTGCGGTGGCTCAAGTGGTTAAGACGCTGAACTGCAGGCTGTGGAAGGTCGGTAGGTCAGCAGTTCGAGACCCAGGTGCCGCATGACGGCGTGAGCTCCCGTCTCTAGTTCCAGCTCCTGCCAACCTAGCAGTTCGAAAGCAAGAAATTGCAAGTAGATAAATAGGGACCACTTCGGTGGGAAGGGAACAGCGTTCCGTGCGCCTTGGTGTTTAGGCATGCGGGCCACATGACCACGGAAACGTCTTCGGACAGCGCTGGCTCTTCGGCTTTGAAACGGAGATGACCCTAGAGTCGGACTCGACTGGCTTTCGAGCAAGGGAAACCTTTACCATTACCTTACAAGCCTAACAGTAACTCTTCAACATTTTGGAGGAGAAGCTCTGTTTAACAGGATGCCTTTCGATCTGCATGGCCAATCTGAAGCTTTGTGGGGAGAAAGCCACCCCACCCCCAGCCTCACACACCTTCTAAAAGTGCCTGGTGGGCGCTGGGAAAGGTGTCGGTGGTTGCCATGGCACCCGCGGGCACCGTGTTGGGGACCCGCGGCTCACTGTCTGCCTCTAGCCTAAGTTCGTTTGGGCCACTGAGGAATTAACGCCACCCGCTCTCGCCACCCTCTCCTTTCCAACACACCTGTGTCCCCTGAATGCATAGACCGGTTCCACGTCCAACGCGGCGTTCCTGAAAACAGCAGAGAAGAAAAAGGAATGAGGAAAACCCAAGATGTGCAACTGGACTTTGTTAAAAAATAAATGGGATCTGGACACTGGGGCTTTCAGTACACATCCACACACATCCCACTCTCACACGGGACTTCAGGAAGCCCACGACATGGAGGCAGTTGCTCTCCTTTGCTGTAGCCCTCCTGACAGGTAACCCAGAGAGGCACACCGCCTGTGATCCTATCCATTGCTTTAGCTTGCCTTCCATGGATGCCCCTAGATGGGGGGTTTTAAAAGAAGAAGAGAAGAGATTGGATTTATACCCCTCCCTTCACTACCTAAAGGAGCCTCAGAGCGGCTTACAAACTCCTTTCCCTTCCCCTCCCCACAACAGACACCCTGTGCGGTGGGTGGGGCTGAGAGAGCTCTGACAGAAACTGCTCTTTTTTCAAGAACAGCTCTTATCAGAACTACGGCTTGCCCAAGGTCATCCAGCAGGTGCAAGTGGAGGAGTGGGGAATCAAGCCTGGTTCTCCCAGATTAGAGTCCACACACTTAACCACTACACTAAACTGACTCTCTGCTCTTTTTCAAGAACTGCTCTTATCAGAACTATGGCTTGCACAAGGTCATCCAGCAGATGCAAGTGGAGCAGTGGGGAATCAAACCCGGTTCTCTCAGATTAGAGTCCGCGCACTTAATCCCTACACTCAAACTGGCTCTCTGCTCTTTTTCAAGAACAGCTCTTATCAGAACTACGGCTTGCCCAAGGTCATCCAGCAGGTGCAAGTGGAGGAGTGGGGAATCAAGCCCAGTTCTCCCAGATTAGAGTCTGCGCGCTCAACCACTACACTCAAACTGGCTCTCTGCTCTTTTTCAAGAACAGCTCTGCCAGAACGATGGCATGCCCAAGGTCATCCAGCAGGTGCATGTGGGACTGTTTGTCCTTCGCCTTGATTTGGATGGCCCAGGGAAGCCTGATCTCGCCATACCTTGGAAGTGAAGCTGACCCTGGACCCATTAATGGTAGCCATAAGTTGGCTGCAACTTGACAGCAATTAATTATTAGGTCCTGAACTGGATTATCCAAACCAGTCCATTCTTGGAAGCTAAAAAGAAGAGATTGGATTTATACCCCGCCCTTCACTACCGAAGGAATCTCAGAGCGGCTTACCATCTCCTTTCCCTCCCCCTCCCCACAACAGGCACCCGGTGAAGTACATGGGGCTGAAAGAGCTCTCTCGAGGACTGTCCTTGAGAGAGCAGCTCTGAGAGAACTTGTGACTGACCCAAGGTCACACCTGCAGCTGCATGTGGAGGAGTGGGGAAGCAAACCCGGTTCTCTCAGATCAGGGTCTGCGCTCCTAACCACTAGACCAAACTGGTCAGCCCTGGTTAGTCCTTGGATGGGAGACCGCCAAGGAAGTCCGGGGTCACTATCCACAGGAAGGCAATGGCAAACCACCTCTGTCCAGCTCTTGCTTCGAAAACCCGGAGGGTTTTCATGAGTGGCCGTAAGTCAGCTGTGACTTCACGGCACATTACACACACCCGCACATGCGAAGAGATGCTTTTGCCTTGAAGCCGCTGCCTGTCCATTTTACACGGGCACTGAGTTCTAGTGTTACGGGAGGAAAAGAAGAGGTTCGCCATCCCCCTCTCTCCACGCCATGCGTACGATTCTCTAACATGCCGGGGACCAGCTCCGGGGCTTCCGGCACGCCAAGTCACATGTTCTGCCGCCAAGCCAGCCTCCCCTCCTACCTTGGATGGGCACGTGACACAGCAGGACAGTGGTGGCGAACCTACGGCACGGGTGCCAGAGGTGGCACTCAGAGCCCTCTCTGTGGGGCACGCGTGCCATCGCCCCAGCCAGGCCCAGACCATCATATCATTAAAGTGTCGAATTCTCTGCCAAATAACTTTAAGTAAATGAAAGCATTTGGGATTGCTTTCCTTCCTTTGTTTGGATCGTCTTAAGTTAATGTAGGAGTGGTTTCTTCTAAAGTAAAACCTCAGTCTTCAGGTTAAACTGCCGTGTTGGCACTCTGCGATAAATAAGTGGGGTTTGGGTCGCAGTTTGGGCACTTGGTCTCTAAAAGGTTCGCCATCACTGCAGTAGGACTGTCAGCCAATCTGTCACGCACACACCCCAGACAGGGACATGCAGTTCCACAAGTGTCATCTCGGCCGTTTCCAGGCGGGCTGTTCCAGCCACCACAACGGCCTGTCGAAGACAGGAGACGCCCCGTGCTCACTTTTTGGCGGCGACCGTCTTCTGGAGGTTCCATAGCTTCAGCGTGCCGTCTTCCGAGGCGGTGACCAGGGCGGACTCCGCGTGGTGGAAGACCAGGGCCCGGATGCCGTCGTAATGGCTCCTGAGGGTGAATTTGGGATTCCAGGTCTTTTTGAAGGAGTCTTTGCTGTCCGAGAGCTGGGGTGGAGGGGGCATGGAATTAGGATGAGGAAGGGAAGAGACTGGATTTATACCGTGCCCTGCACTCAGAGCGGCTTACAAACTCCTTTCCCTTCCCCTCCCCACCGCAGACACCCTGTGAGCACTGCTAACTCTCAGCTGTGGAGCCTGGGTGAGCCAACATTCTACTCTGTGAGCGACTGGCATTTTTGTCTTAGCTCAGGAAGGAGGGCTCCAGAGCAAACTAATTGATGCAGCAGCCAAATCACTCGCTCACAACTTTAATGCCAGTAGCTCACAGAGTAGAGTTTTTGCTCACAAGATTCCACAGTTTAGAGGGAACATTGCCTGTGAGCACTGCTAACTCTCAGCTGTGAAGCCTGGGTGAGCAAACATTCTATTCTGTGAGCGACTGGCATTAAAGTTGTGAGCAAGCAATTTGGCTACTGCAGAAATTACAAGATTACGCATGGAAAAGAACAGGTAGAGAAAGAGGTACTTTTCTCCCTTTCTCAAAAGACAAGAACTCGTGGGCACTCCATGAAATTGCTGAGCGGTCGGGTTAGAACGGATAAAAGGAAGTACTTCTTCACCCAAAGAGTGATGAACACTTGGAATTCACTGCCACAGGAGGTGGTGGCGGCTACAAGCATGGACGGCTTCAAGAGGGAATTAGATAGGCATATGGAGCAGAGGTCCATCAGTGGCTATTAGCCACAAGGTATAGATAGGGGCTCTGGGGCAGGTGATGCTCTGTCTTCTTGGTGCTTGGGGGGGCCAACAGTGGGAGGGCTTCTAATGTCCTGGCCCCACTGGTGAACCTCCTGATGGCACCTGGTATTTTTGGTCACTGTGTGACAGAGTGTTGGACTAGATGGGCCTTTGGCCTGATCCAACATTGGCGTCTCTTATGTTCTTAAATTAGTTTGCTCTGGAGCCCTCCTTCCTGAGCTACGGCAAAAACAGGTGAGCCGAGGGCTAAAGAACTGTGAGGTAGCTCACACTAACTCAGCTTAGAGGGAGCACTGCCTGTGAGGTGGGTGGGGCTGAGAGAGCTCTTTCGAGAACAGCTCTGAGAAAACTTGTGACTGACCCAAGGTCACACCAGCAGCTGCATGTGGAGGAGTTCTCCCAGATGAGAGTCCGCGCTCCTAACCACGACACCAAACTGGCTCTGGTGGATGCCAGGTGAGCCACCCCCTCCGTCTGCCCCGTCGCTCGCAAACCTTCCCCTCCATTGACCTCTTACCACCCCTGCATCTGGACAAGCGGGTGGGAGGAAGTGACTGACAGCTGCCAGAAAGCAACTCACATCACAGCTTAGCTCGTTGTCGTTGGTGACGGTCAGGTCCGCGAGGTCGCCCAAGCTGACCTCCCCTCCGCCGATGGTGTCCATGATGAAAACGTCCGAGGAGAAGCCCAGCGACCCTGCAACGGAGCGGAGGAAGAGAGCCGTTCAGGCCTGCCGGAGGGGTTTGCGGAGGAGGGCGTTCTGGCAACAGGCAGAGAAAACGGGAACCGGAAAGGGGCGTGAAGCGAAAAAGGTTCGGCAACCGCTCACCTTCGTGAGACCGGGGCTGGCTGGAGATGGCCGAGGGCATAGATGGCTTAGGAGGAAGCCCGTCGACGTCTCTGAGATCGGCAAGCATCCCTTGCAGCTTCACCCGGCGGGTTTCTGCAGGGAAGAGGCAACAGGGTTCCAGCATGGCTTCTCTTATGTTCTTATGTCTGGGGCAGGGGTTCTCTGTCTTCTTGGTGCTTGGGGGGGGGGCAACAGTGGGAGGGCTTCTGGAGTTCTGGCCCCGCTGGTGGACCTCCTGATGCCCCCTGGGTTTTGGCCACTGTGTTGGACTGGGTGGGCCATTGGCTTGATCCAACATGGCTTCTCTTACATTCTTATGTCTGGGGCAAGTGATGTTCCGTATTCTTGGTGCTTGGGGGGGGTGGGCTACAGTGGGAGGGCTTCTAGTGTCCTGGCCCTGCTGGTGGACCTCCTGATGGCCCCTGGGCTTTGGCCACCGTGTGACACAGAGTGTTGGACTGGAAGGGCCACTGGACTGATCCAACTTGGCTTCTCTTATGCTCTTATGTCTGGGGCAGGGATGCTCTGTATTCTTGGTGCTTGGGGGGGCAACAG